AAGCCCCCACAATGTCCTTTTCTCTTGTCTCTCTCCTCCTGCCTCCTCCCAGCCACCCTGGATGACAGATATTCACGTGCAGAACGATTCCTTCCTGCTGTTTTTTGTGCTGCTCCCCGCATCTCAGATGCCCTTGTCTCACTGCCATCTTTCAAACTCCTCATTATCCTTTGAGTGTCTTGTCCTCCAGATCTAACTTGAATGCCACCTCCTCCATGAGGACTTCCTTCCCACTCATCATCCTCAGAGTCAGCCATTCTTTTTTTGAGTGTTGTCCCGTCTTTCCATAGGCATTGAAGTTGCTAGTGGGCAGGCATGGTATTTATTTTTCCTATTATCCTTCTACCAGCATCAACCTCTGCCCTACATGCACTCACACAGACATGGCTTACAGATGGAGGGCTGCATGAGCTATTGAATTTCTTCCTTTCAGACATCACACCTCCTAGCCTCTTGCCCAGAGGAGGGCTTCCCCAGGAAACTGTAGGTCCTGCATTGTGGAAAGAGCACAGGATTGAAAATAAGAAGCTTTGGGCTCAAGTTTGCCATTTGAGTGACCTTGGGGTAGCCTGACAATACAATCTACCTTATAGATGTGCCACGAGGGTAGTCAGCACACAAAAGTGCTAAGTAGTGCTTGCATTCTATTCGAATGCGAGTTTTTATAGCATTAGTCATACTGGGTCTCAGGATCTGGGTTAGCTAGTAGGAAGCAATTTCAGCTGACCTCCCAGCTGGATGAGGACTTGGGTGTGATCCCAAGATGCCACGAGTGGTCTCACAGATCTGGAGAGGGATGAGCCCACACACCCCAGACCATCCAGCTTTCTTGGATAGATAGGGTTCAGTCTTGTAGCTCCAGAATTCTTTGTGTATATGGGCACTTGTTATCGTGGGCAGATGGGAAGCCAATCTCTTCCTTAAGACCACCAATGAATGCTTGGGTCATAGCAACCCTCTGTATTACCTTTTTTCCTTAAAAAAATTTTTTTTTATTGAAAAATAACTCACATAACAAAATTTGCCAAAGTGTACATTTAAAGTGTGATTTTGAGCATAACCATCACCACCATCTAATTCCATCATATTTCTAACTCCCCAGAAAGAAACCTTGTAACTATTAGCACTCAGTCCCGCTTCCCCTGTCTGCTCAATCTCTGGCAATCATGAATCTACTTTCTGTCTCTATGGGTTTGCAGTTCTGGGCGTCCCATATAACTGGAACCGCAGGTTGTGTGGCCTTTTGTGACTAGCTCCTTTTGCTAGTGTGTTTCCCAGGTTCATCTCTGCTGTAGCAGAGTGAGGAGTAGTACTTCAATCTTCCGTGGCTGACTAATATTCTGTTGTATGCATGTCCCACATGTTTCTTTATCCATCCGTCCATTGATGGGCGTTTGGGTTGTTTCCACTTTTTGAATGTTATGAATTATGTTCCTGTGGACACTTGTGTACAAGTTTTTGTGTGGACATATGTTTTCAGTTCTCTTTCGATTCCTAGAGGTAGGGAAGGTTACTTGGCGTTACTGGGGAACTCTGGGTTTAGCATTTTGAAGAATTGCTGGACTGGTTTCCAAAACAGCCACACCATTTTACACTCCCACCAGCAGCCTGTGAGAACTCTTTGGTCCTCCTTACACTGGAGTCAGCCCTTGCTTGCCTCATCATTCTGAACTCGAGATGCCCAGGAGAGAGAATTCTGCAGCCAGCTTTCACCTATCCCTTTCCCATAGTCACGGTTATGTAAGACAACAAGCTTTGCAAACTTTAATTGTCTGAAAAGCACACTCGGACCCTTGGTGCAAGCAGAATGATTTATCTTCCTTGCTATGGGGAAAATTCAGTCTCAATCCTTCTGGCCGAGGAGGAGCCATATGTGGCTAGAGATCAGTGTTTGTTCGGCTGGTGAGCACAGAAGAGAGCGGCTGCTTGCACAGAAGTGTTCTTATTACGGAGATCCTGCCAGGCGTGAGTCTACACAGCCTCTTAATGCATCCTCAGGCTTCCTGGCAGGGAGCTGGCACTGCTCCTGTGGATGTCTGGGGCATGAGGCTGGAGAGACATCTGTCCAGGTGGGCAAAGATGGGGGCTCAGGTGCTTCCTCTGGGGTGCTCCACTGGATAACAGGCCAATGTTCACTGTCTTGTTCACGAAGGCCTGGGATCAGAGATTCCCTGACCTCACTCACAGCTATTCTGCTGAGACTGGTACATGAGAGGGCTCTGTAGGCGATGGCTCAGACTCTCTGGCCTAGACAAGGAAGGGTTTGTTTGCACAGCATCTGGATACAGAGTGAGGTCATTCAGGAAGGTGGGGTGGGAAGGCGATTGCTAACCCCAAAGGATTCCCTTATGAAGAAGAAAAATTACCAGCTGTGCTGATTCTGCGATTGGATGGAAGGGCTTGCTCATTTCAGGCTAAGGGGAATGTTTCTGGGAGGTGCAGAGGAGGAACAGAGCCAGGGAAAACAATCCCACGAGATCCTGGTTGATGAACGAATGACCCCTGATGACCACGCCTGGTCCACTGTGCCTGGCAACACTGGGTGTCTTATACCTCTGGGTGTTTATTCATGCAACAAATATTTATTGAGTTCCTACTGTGTTTCAGGAGCTTTCTAGGACTCAGGAACACAACTGTGAACAAAACAAACACAGATAATTATCCCTGTGGAGATCAGAGCTTGGGGGTATGGAGAGGTATTAATTAAATGGTTGCAGAAGTCAGTATTGAGCAGGGTCTTGCAGGTTTCTCTGACAGTGAATAAGAGAGGAAATGGTTTAATATGGGGGGGTTGTCTGGAAAGCCTTTTCTGGGGCACCTAGGTCTGAGGGATAAGCAGGGCTGGAGGCGGGGAGGAGGGGAAAGGGGAGGGGAGAGCAGATCAGGCACAAGCCACAGCAGGTGCAAAGCCCTGAAGTGGGACAGAACACAATATTCCAGGAACAGAAAGAGCCTGAAGGGGAGAACTGAGAGGGAGGAGAGTCGTGAGAGACAAGGTGGAGAGTTGCCAGGGCCAGCCTTTTAGGGTCGCAAGGACCTCCTGGTTTCTCTTCTAAGAGCAGGGGGCAGCCACTGAGGGGTTTCAAGCTTGGCAGTGACAAGGTCAGATGTGTGATGACTACTCTGCTTTGACAGAATGGAGTCATGGTTTTGGTGTTAGGAGTAGATGGGGCCACCCAAGTGAGACCAGGGTCAACTTTGTGGGCTGGTGAAAATGTGAGTGTGAACACTGGATGAACTTAACAGTGGGCAGTCATCAACTCAAGGGAAAAGTGGTATTGAGGGCATCAGGGGCCCTCTGATGCTAACTTGATCCTCTGAGGTCATTTTGACCTTAATTTCTGATGAAACCTGGGAAACCACATTTTTTTTCCTGAACACCTGGGGAACTGCCCTTCTTTCTGCTTGCTCAGCCCTTCCCATCTAGTTAAGTGCCTAACACGTGGACTGTCACTGGCTTAGAAGGTCAGCCTGGAGGCCTCAGAGGTCGGCTGGTCCAGAACTTATCAGAGGGTGGTCCTTGGACCCCTGTATTAGCATCATCTTTGGGGTAACTGCAGAATCTTGAGTGTTACCTCAGACCTCTTGACTCAAAGCTGGTTTTGGGGGGGCAGTGGCAAGGGGTTGGTGGTAGAACCTTTTAGAGAATCAGCATTTTAAGCAAGTGCTCCAGGGGATTCTTGGGTACACTGTGTTAATTTCCTGTGGCTTCTGTAACAAATGACCACAAATGCAGTGGCTTAAAGCAACAGAAATATATTCTCTCACTGTTCTGGAGGCCAGAAATTCCAAACCTTGCTTCACTGGGCTGAAATCAAGGTGTGATCAGGGCCACATTCCTCCAGAGGCTCTGGGAAGTATCCGTTCCTTGCCTCATGGCTTCTGTGGCTGCTGGAATTTCTCAGCATGGGGCAGGTCTCTCTGACCTCTGCCCATCTGATCACATCATCCTCTCCTCTTCCGTCTGTGGCCAAATCTTCCTCACATGAGTACTGAGGGTCAGGATCACCTCATCTCGAGATCCTTAACTTAATCTATCTGCAAAGACTCTTTTCCTAAAAGTAACATTTACAGGTTCCCAAGATTAGGGCCTGGTATCTTTGGGGCACTATTTTCCTGTCTGTCACAAATACTGAAGTTCTAAAATCATTGATATGGCCCATGACCTCAGGGTAGAGTAGGAAGAGGAAATTGGAGCCTAAAGAAAAGGAACCAATCCAAGGTCACACAGCTCGTAATTCACTTCTGAGATTTGTACCAAGACTCCTGATTCCCAGGCATTTCTGGGAATCCAGGCACCAAAGGATAATGACATTGGACATTTTTACTGAATGCTTCTTAGGTACAATGCTAAACAAATCACATGTGCTATCTCATCAGTCTTCTAAACAACATTTGAGATAGATTCTCCTGTGGTCTTCCACTTTACAGATGAAAAAAAATAAGGGGAAAAGAGGTTAAATAGCTTGCCCAAGTTGTTAGAGCTAATTACTGGTGGAGTTGGGATAGGAACCCCGGCAGTCAGAGGCCAAAATCTTCATTCACATGTAGAACAACATCCAGTCAGACTTATTCCAAATCTACCATGTCGATCACAATTCTCTGATGTTTTTTGCCTTCCTAGGACATATGGAAGCAAACTTCTCTGCAAGGAAAGGAGACCCCTTTAACCATTTTCTCTTCTGCTCAGAACCATGACAAGCCTTCTCGTCTCAGTCAGTAGGCCCAATGCAAGGCAAGCAAAGAGGTGGGGGTGAGGGTGATGGAGTAGACACGGAAGGGAGCTGACCAGGTGTCCGGATCTTAGTAAGTTTATTAGGCTAATGGGCTGGGATGGGCCCTGGAAGGCTCCCAGCCTCCAAATTGTCTGTGAAAGGCAGAAGGAGAAGGTGGGGCTGTTTCATTTGCACCCTGGGTACATATTTGTTCCTGGCCTGACTCACTTCCTTCTGGAACAGGGCCTGGGGTAAAATGTTTGCCTGTTCCACCTCCCTCGGTGCTGACTTATAGCAACCCTCCCAGTGGGGCAGGTGTCTGAGAGTACAGAGCAGTCCTGCTCACCTGTCCACCCCTACAGAGCCCACGGCCATGGCAGCCCAGGTGGCCGGCATATCCAGGCAGCGTGCAGCCGCTGAGGGTCTTGGCTCCAACCAGAAAGCTGTGAAATACTTGGGCCAGGACTTTGAGACTCTGAGGCAACAGTGCTTGGATTCAGGGGTCCTGTTTAAGGACCCTGAGTTTCCAGCATGTCCATCAGCTTTGGGCTACAAAGATCTTGGACCACATGCCCTCCAAACTCAAGGCATCATCTGGAAGCGGCCCACGGTAAGAAAGTTGCTGTTGAGTGACACAAGGGGTGGAGAGTCCTTGAATCTGGTCAGGAGGAGTTGAAGGAGGTTCATGGCTATGGATCTTACATTTCTGGATTGCATATTTCAGACCCCCTAATCCCTGCCACCTTTGAAAATCTTGTTTAGAAGCAGTGAGATTTAGACGGAGGAGCACGGATGGACTTCAGAACTAGGCAAGCTGGATCTGAATCTCTGCCTGTGTGGCCTTGGGCCGGTAAAGTCTGTGAGCCTCAGTATTCTCATCTGTAAGATAGTATTTACTGGCACCTTGTTTTTTAGTGTTGGCATGAGAATTAGAGATACATCTCAGAGTATAGTGCCTGGAACAAAACAGGCACAGTACACATAGTAGTTATCACTGGACAGGCCTCCTGGGTTGGTGTACAATGGACAAATCAATGCTAGATGTAGTCAGCCCTTGGGTAAATTATGACAACATCATTTGCTGAAAGGGGCAGGGTGTTTAAGGTCATGAATGGTCATTGTTCCATCAGCTCTAGAAAGTGGAGGGGTGGAAGCCTGGCTCTGTGGAGACAGATGGAAGTCAGGGGCTGCTGGATGCTGTCATTCCCCAGAACTCAATGGCAGTGGGTGGAGAACTGTCCTCTGAAAACCCAGGCCCATAACCTAACTATGCCTACTGAATGTCAAGGGATTTAACTTGTCAAGTGATTTAACCTCAGGGACAAGACCCCCATCCACACAGAGTTGTTGTAAGAACACCCCTCAGAAGTGCTGTGTTTAGTGTCGGGCACACAACAGTGTCTCAGAAGAGGGGCTATGAAATAGACATGCCCAGGACACCTTTTGTCTTCTCAACCGTGGTAGGGAAATCAAGTCATGGTTTCTATTTTTTTTTTGGCAGAGGTTGAAAAGGGAAGACAAGGAGAGAATAATTCTTTTAAAATGGCCCAAACCATCATTTAACTCCAGCTCTTTGCCTCTTTTGTTTTCATCCTATTGATTTTTTTCACAACAGTTTCCACCTCTGAGAATAACTCCTTGGCCAGGCCTTCTTCCTGTCCACCATGGTCCATCTTCCCATCCCCCTCTGAAACCTCTGGGGTTTCCCTGGCATGTTGATGAAATCCAGGCTGGGAATTATGGTTTTATATTCCATTTCAAGAGTTGACAGCCACATTTCATTTTAACAGACAGTTTTTGTGAGCCTCTGTTTTGTGCCAGGCATTGGCTCTTGACTGTTTGGGAAGGTTGTCAGGGAGTCAGAGAGAAAGAGAAGAGAGCTGTGGTCTCAGCTCTGATGGAGATTATGGGAAGACAGGGTTGAATGAAGGACTGAGGGCAAAATGAAGTAAGTACTTGACAGAGGCATAAATGATGGGCCATCAGAACCTGGGCTGTTACCACAGAATGATGAACAGCCTTAGGGAGGCGTGGGATCCAGAATCCCAGGGGCTTGGGAGGGGAAGCAGAGAACAGGGAGGGAGAGAATGTTTCCTTTAGTGACCAAAGTCAGACATCCACTTTTCTTCTTCCTTCTAAATTCTCCAACCGTATTGCCCATTCTCCTCCAGACTGAGTTTTCCTGGGGTCACTGTCCACGGAAATGCAGTAGTTGTAGACTGGGTGTGCTGATTGTGCCTGTCCATGGGAGTAATAAAATCCAGAGGAGGAGGCAGTGGAACATGATTCATGTGGAATGTAGAATTGAAGGGCTCTGACCAAGAGTTGTCAAGTGTGTGTTGAATAAATAAATATGTGTCAACATGTAGCCTCTTCATCCATAATCATCAACAAGGGCTGATTTGGCTATGCTCATGCTCATACTGGAAGGAGGATATAGCTTTATCCCATTAGAGGATATAGCTTTATCCTCGAGGGTCTTTCAGATGATTGAATAAACTCCTGGGTTGGAAAAGATTCTGATTCTATCTCTATTGGGGATGTGTGCTGGATCCTGGGAAAATTTGCCTGTTCCGACATGTTTTATTTTATTCTTCTCAAGAAACCTCTCAGGGGCTTACAAGCAGATTGGGATGTCCTGAAGTGAGGTGCACTACAAGGTCACTTGTTGCATTTACTGATTGATTAATTTTTAGACTGTGGTAAGATACACATAACGTAACCTTTACCATCTTAACCCCTAAAAAATGTGCAGTTCGGTGGCATTAAGTACATCCCCTTTGCTATGCAGTCACCGCCACCCTCCATCTCTAGAACTTTTTTCATCTTGCAAAACTGAAACTCAATACCCACTAAACAACTTCTCATTCCTTCTCCTGTTTCTGGCAACCACCATTCTGTCTCTATGAATTTGATGCTACTAGGCATCTCATATAAGTGGAATCATACGGTATTTGCCTTTTTGTGACTGACTGGCTTAGTTAACTTTGGGATAATGTCCTCAAGATCCATCCAGGTTGTAGCCTGTGTCAGAATTTTCTTCCTTTTTAAGGGTGAGCAGTATCCTGTGGTATGTCTAGATCACATTTTGTTTATTTATCTGTTGGCAGACACTTGTGTCGCCTCCACCTTTTGGCTACTGTGGATTATGCTAGGAGTACAAACATTTCTTCAAGACCCTGCTTCCAGTTCTTTTTGTTATATGCCCAGCAGTGGAATTGCTGGATCACATGGTAAGTCTATTTTCAAGTTTTTGAGAAACTGTCACACTGTTTTAAATGGTGGTTGCACCATTTTACATTCCCACCAATAAGGATTCCAGTATCTCTACATCCTTGCCAACACTTGTTATTTTCTGTGTTTTTGATAGTAGCCAACCTAATGAGTGTGAGGTGGTATCTCATGATGGCTTTGATCGCATTTCCCTAAAACTTAGTGATGCTGAGCATCTTTTCATATGCTTATTGACCATTTGTAGATCTCCTATGAGAAATGTTCTTTCAAGTCTTTGCCTATTAAGAAAAAAAATTGGTTGTTTGCTTTTTTGTTTCACTGCTGCATTAGAGGATGACTTGGTACTTCCTTGGTCTTGGAGGCTTTAAGCCAGTTGTCCAGATGTGACTCATGATTCTTGTTCCCATATAGATGTTAATTTTTACTTGCCTTTGAGGGAAAGGAGACGAGATAAAAGGAGTGGGGATATATATATATCTGCTCTAAGAATAAATAAAGCTTGATATGTAGATGTTTTCTAGAATCATAAAATTTGACATCTTGCCCCTGCTGGGTGTTTCTGCCTACCCATAAGCTATTGAGCAAAAGGTTTGCTTGGGTGTTGTCTCAAGGGCTAGAGGACAAGTTTGCCCAGAGGAAGGTCTCAAGGTCAAGCATGGGATTTCAGTGTTTTACAATCCTAAGGCCATTGTATCTGCCAGTGTTGGGCAGGAGCCACAATCCTATCACAAACAACACAGCTGGCCTCGAGAGCTTAGGGCGTGTTCTCAGCAGCTGCGTTTTCACATCCTCACTTCCTGGCATCCTCACTTCCTGGCATCCCCTCTGTGCTTGGTTGATGTCCAGTCCAGACCCCTCCTGTGTGAGGAATGCTCAGTGTGAGTGGCCCTGGTGCAGCTCAGTCAATGATATTCTTCTCTGAAGTGTCCACTTTTTGGTCAATTAAACAGCTTATTGATCTTGAGGAGAAATACAGTGAGATAGAAGTGAGGCAATGTCAGCTGCATAACAAGGATTCACGTTAATAGAAACGTCAAGGGGTTGAATTGCTGGGAGGTTAGGGTAAGGGTGAGGGCAAGTGGTCTCCGTTTGCAGCTTCCCCTCCTTTACAATCAACTCCCTCTTAGGTTAGCAAATCTGGAGTTTTCAATTCAGCTGTGATTTATTGCTTACTGGTCAGGTGCTAGAGAGGAGTCCTTGTGAAGCACCAGCTAGTCAGGGAGAGCGACAAATGGACAAATGGACAATTGAGAGGCAGCAGAGAGGTTAAACATGTGACTCATGGCCTCAGGCATCAGGTAGAGCATCGTTCTGATCCTCTTTCTGACATTTACTATCAAAAGGTCTGTGAGGAAGTTATTAACCTCCCTAAGACTCAGTTTTCTCAGCTATAAAGTGGGGACAATAATATTACCCATCCCATTGGGTTTTTTGGAGGCTTGAAAGGGAAAATGGGACAATCCAACTATGATTACAAGACAATGTCCGGAGGGTGACCTATAAATATGAACAAAATGTACTGGAAGTTCAGGAGAAGATGCAGTTAAATTTGACTGTGGGATAGGGGCATGTTAATGACTAGAGACACTGGAGCAGGGGTTGGTGGTAGAAGAGGATTGGGATAGAGACCAAGCATAAGGCACAGGTGTGAGCAAAGGCACTGGGTTGTGACAGTGTATTCAGAGCAGTGTGCTCAGAAGAAGGCAGGAGTCCATTATGATTGGAGGAGAGAGAACACTGTGGGAAACAGAGAGTTGAAGCTAGAAACTTCCAGATCCTAGAGGGACTGGAGTGCTGGGCCAAGTCATACGGCTACAGTGGATGGAGACGATGACGTGGATGGCAGCATCCCTGGGTTTCCAGAAAGTGCACAGTCAGAGCTTCTGAAAATCTTGACTATCAGGCATGGTCTAGCGCCTAGGGAGAGCAATGTTGCCAAGAAGCCATCATCACTGGGAATGTTTAAGTCACTTTCTATCTGGGATTCCTTACTGTTTTCTGTGTTTTGAGATCCTTACTTAAGAGGAAACATTATTACTAGAAAGACAGGATTGTTATTTTTTTCCCATTTAACAAATATCTATTGAGCATTTATACATGGCAGAACGTAAGATAATTATTTTATTTTTATTTTTTTTTGAGTTGGAGTCTCACTCTGTTGCCTAGACTGGAGTACAGTGGCCACTCCTGGCCACCGCAGCCTCGACCTGCTGGGCTCTGGCGATCCTTCCACCTCAGCCTTCCAAGTAGCTGGAACTACAGGTGCGCGCTACCAAGCCCGGCTAACTTTTTGATTTATTGTAGAGATGAGGTCTCGCCAAATCGCTGAGGCAGTTCTCGAACCCACGGGCTCAGGCAATCCACTCACCTCAGCCT